ATTTCCACCTAAGGGCCCAGTGGCGCATTTCGCATGGCGGCGCCGCCCCGTTTTGGCGCGCCCCCCGCGCGATTCGCGGCCCCATAGGGGGCCCCACCTCAGGCCCCAGTGGTGTAAGTCGCACGGCGGCGCCGCCCCGTTCTACCATGCACTTAACGCGTTTCGTGGCCCCATAGGGAGATCCACCTAGGTTCCCAGCGGCGCAGTTCGCATGGCGGCGCCGCCCCGTTTTGGCACGCATCTCACGCGCTTCGCGGCCACAGGGAGCTCCATCAAAGGTCCCAGTGGCGCAGTTCGCACGGCGGCGCCGCCCCACTGCGGCACGCCCCTCGCGCTTTTCGCGGCGCGCGGTCGGGGGCGGCGCGGGGGGGGGGCGACGACTCGCGGCTGGAGGTCCGCGCGCTGCTCTCGCGCGCCACCCGCTGCGGGGCATCCTGCCCACGCGGGCGCCGCTCATCGAGTCCTTCCCGGCGGGGCCGCCGGAGGGCTTGCGGAATCAGCCGGGGCAGTTCGCGGCGCGCGCGAAGCTGCGCAGGAGGGGGGCGGCGGCCCTCGCCGGGGAGCTGGGCTTCTTTGAGTTTATCCGCGAGGCTTGACCTGAGGAGCGGCCCGTCCGAGCCGCGCCTTCGCTCGACTGCCCGACCGTTTGGCCTCGCGCCGCGGGCGACCCGCGCGAGCCGCTGGGGCCCTCCAGCGCGCGTCGCGGGAACTCCGCACGGCGCTCTGCCCGGCGCCTCGCTCGCCCGTCGTCGCTCTGCCCAGCGGTCAGATCCTTGCCCGCCATCAGCCAGCCAGCTAGCCCTCTGTGCTCCGCGCCGCGGACGACCCGCGCGCGTCGCTGGGGCCCTCTCTGGGCGACCAGCGCGCGTCGCGTGAATTCCGCGCGGCGCTCTGCCCAGCGCTTCGCTCGCCCGTCGCCGCTCTGCCCCGCGGCCGGATCCCCTCCCCCCGTCAGCCAGCCAGCTAGCTTTCTGTGTTCTGCGCAGTGGACGACTCGCGCGCGTCGCCGGGGCCTTCGGGGCGACCCGCGCGCGTCGCGGGGGCTTCGCGCCGCGCTGCGTCTGCAGCCCTGGACCTTGGAGCGCTGGGGCAAAAAGGAAGAAAAACAAAGGAAGGAAGGGGGCGCGATTCTCGCGAGGGGCGCGCCGACATGGGCGTCGCGGCGCAGGGGCGCTGCCATCGGGTTCTCCGGAGGAGCCCCCTGTGGCGGCCGCGCCCAGTGCCGCGAGTACCCAGGGCCAGGCATGCCCAAACCGTTCACAATCGTATACATTTACACCGTGTGTAGCCGCGCTCGCATTCATGCAAATAGATTCACTCGCGCGCAGACCCATTCACATTCGGACTCTCGCGCGCTCAGACTCACCCGCGCTCAGTCTCTCGTGCTCAGACCTATCGTCTTTGCTCGTGCTGCGTGCCCCCACGCATTGCGGCGCGCCCCGCGCGCGGTTCGCGGCCCCTACGGGGGCGCCGCCGAAGACGATGTCCACAGTTGCGATATTCACAACTGCAGGTTGTTGGGTCTTGCGCCAAGCAAGGATTATCACGCGTGGTTTTTCTGAACCGTCCTGTGGCGTTGGGTCTTCGTTTTGGAGAGATTGTGCCCCGCGTTGTCCTCTCCTCTTCTCGTCTCCTCTTCTCCTACCCTTCTCATGTTCCCCCTCCTCTCTCCTCTCGTCGCCCTCGCACTTCGGCGCGCCCCTCGCGCGTTTCGCGGCCCCGTAGGGGGCCTCGCGCAAGGCCCCAGCGGCGCAGTTCGCACGGCGGCGCCGCGCCATGTTGGCACGCCGCTCACGCGCTTCGCGGCCCCATAGGGGGCTCCATTTCAGGTTCCAGTGGCGTTGTGCGCATGGCGGCGCCGCCCCGTTGAGGCGCGCCCCTCGCGCGTTTCGCGGCCCCGTGGGGCTCCACCATCGGTCCCAGTGGCGATCTGCGCATTGCGGCGCCGCTCCATTAAGGCGCGCCCCTCGCGCATTCTCGCGGCCCCATGGGGGGCTCCACCATGGCGGCGCCGCCCCATTGAGGCGCGTCCCTCACGCGTTTTCGCGGCCCCATGGGGGGCTCCACCATGGCGGCGCCGCCCCATTGAGGCGCGCCCCTCACGCGTTTTCGCGGCCCCTTAAGGAGCTCCACCTAAGGCCCCGGTGGCGCAGTTGTCGCGGCGGCGCTGCCCCATTGAGGCGCGCCCCATCACGCGCTTCGCGGGCCCATGTGGAGCTCCAGACCTTCCTTCGGGCCTTGGGCCGTCCGTCGGTTGTCCAGCGCGATGCCCCCTCGGTCGACGTCGCCCAGGCGCGATCCCGGACTGCGGCCGCCACGAGGTCGGGAACGGCGCGGAGGAGGACGACGTTTGGTGGCTGGAGCTCGACGCGCTGCTCTCGCGCGCAACCCGCCACGAGGACATCGTGCCCATGCGGGCGCCGCGCATCGAGTTCTCCCAGAAAGGGCCGCCGCGGGGGCTCGCGGGGCGGCTGGGGCAGGAGGGGGGCGGCGGCCCTCGCCAGGGAGCTGGGTTTCACTGAGTTCATCCGCCCCGAGCCGCGCCATCTTTCGACTGCCCAGCGGTTCGGCTCCGCGCCGCGGAGACCTGCGCGCGCACCTGGGGCCCTCTCGGAGCGACCAGCGCGCAACGCGGGAACCCTGCGCGGCGCTTTGCCTGGAATCTCGCTCGCCCGCCGTCGCTCTGCCCGGCGGCCTGGTCCTTGCCCGCCATCAGCCAGCCAGCTAGCTATCGTTGCTTCGCGCAGCGGACGACCCGCGCGCGTCGCTGGGACCCCCTTTGGGGCGACAGGCGCGCGTCGCGGGAGCTCCGCGTTGCGCTGCGCTCGCAGCCCTAGGCCCTGGAACGCAGGGGCAAAGAGGGAGAACAACAAGGGAAGGAAGCGGGCGCGATTCTCGTGAGGGGCGCGCCGACATGGGCTTCGCGGCGCGCGGGCGCCGCCGTCGGTTTTTTTTTTGGGGGGGGGCCTTGTGGCAGCCGCGCTCAGCGCCGCGAGTACTCAGCGCCAAGCGTGCCCAAACCGTTCACATTCATACACATTGGCATTCGGTGCAGCCGTGCTTGCATTCTTGCAAATGAGATTCATTCGCGCGCAGACTCGCGCTCAGATTCGCCCGCGCTCAGACTTTCGTATTCAGACCTATCGTCTTCGTGCGCGCTGTGTACCCCGCCACAAATTTCGGCGCGCCTCTCATGCGGTTCGTGGCCCCAATGGGAGCGCGACCGAAGACGATCATCACAGCTGCGATCGCTACAGTTGCATATGTTTGGGTCCTTCGCCAGGCTATTGCATATCAAAATGTTGTCGCACATGTTTTATCACACTTGTGGTGTATCACATTTGTTGCTTTACATGTGCTCGGTGCGTCGAAGGCACCAGGCTACGGGTTCGGTCTGCGTCGTGTCCAGCTTGCGACGTCCCTCCCCGCGCGCTGCGCACGCGACCTGGCGGCGCCGTTTCGCGCGGGTTGCCATGCGTGCCCACGGGGGCCACGAAACAATTGTCGACGCTTTTCAGATGGGGTCCGAGGAGATGGGGTCGGAGGATCGCGCCGCATCGCCGATGCATCGCCGATGCGGGTCGATGTGGAACCCGATTTTCTCCACGCCGACGGTGCGGACACATCGCCGACGTCGCGGATGCATCGCCGATGTATCGCTGATGTATCGGTGATGCATCGGTGATGCGGCGCGATCCCCCGTCCCAACTTACTCGGACCCCATCTAGGAGGCCTCTAAATACCCTCGTTATCATTGTGTTTGGGCCCTCCTCCTGGGAACGTTCCTGGGATTTTTGCTGGGTTTTTTTCTCGGGGGCGGCAAAACAGGGAGGTGGTGAGTAAGGGGGGGAGATCCTGGCGGGGTCCATGATATCTCCACGGATTTCGTCGTCCTTCTTCTTACTTCAATGCGTTCCTGGCTACCCTGGGCCGCGAACATGCCGCCGGCCATGATTTGCGCCCCCTCTTTTTGACGCCCCCGACGTTTGGCCTTCGGTGAAGGGCCTCATGTTCTCGATCCGCAGTTCTCGTGGCCCTTTTTCGACAGCCTTCCGCGGTTGTGCGGTTCGTGGGCCTGTGTAGTGTGAAAGCCGCGCTGTATGAGGGCGGTGCTATGCCCGGATCGGGTTGTGGTGGTTGTGCTGCGTTTGGGGGGTAGTGCGTGGGTCAGGTGCTGTGCGGGTGTTGCGCTGTGCGGGGCTTGTGCAGTGATGTCGCCACCGTGTGGCTCTGCTGCACTGGGACAGAGCCCGAGTCCCCTCTGCAGAAGCAGAGACCCGTGTCGAGCAATAGAGTCTTCTGGGGTGGGAGAGGCAGCGGACGGGGGATGGGAGAGGAGGGTCGGGGCCCTGAACCGGGCGACACCGCCCAGCTTGAAAGAGTTGCAATTCCTGGGTTTCAGGGGCTGTAGATGACGAGGGCCGAGGAGGAGGAGGAGGAGGAGGAGGAGGAGGAGGCTTGCGGGGATTGAGCTGGAGAGGCGGTGGATGCAGGCCTGAGCTGGAGCGAGTCGCGAAATCGGATCGGGTCGGAAATAGATCGGGGATCGCCAGCAGATCGTCGTCCCGAAAACGATCGGAATCGGATCGCCGCGCCTGGCCTCCAACCGGCCGGGGCCGATGCCAGTGAGTCGAGCCGGCTCGGACCGAATCGGAGATCGTTTGAGATGTTCGGGCGTGTCACGAGTGTTGCCCAGCCCCCCCCCCGCCGCGGGTCGCGGTAACAATCGTGCGCAGGGGGAGGGCCTGGATCCCGCGGCCACGTGCTGGTGCTTGCGCGCATACCTGCGGCGACCGCCACGCGCCCCCGCCCCGACGTGCCCCGACCCGCTCGAGTGCTGCCCTTGCCCAGCCCCGTCCCTCGAGTCACGACCCCGAGCGGGATGGTGACACAACAGCCTCTCGGAATCGCGGCCCCAGCTGGTGAGGCGCAGCGCATCGAATCGGTGCCGTGGGCGGCCCGGGGGGGGCGGCAGGAGCGCGGCGGGCGTGCCCCGGCAGGCGCGGGTCCACGAGCTCTCGAGCGCGGGCCAGCGGCGGCAGATGAACGTCTCCGAGAACTTCCCGAACGACAAGGGCTGCGTCATATCCCCAGACAGTTCGGGGTGCGCCAGGGACGGAAGGATCAGGAGGAGGAGGAGGAGGAGGAGGAGGAGGAGGAGGAGGAGGAGGAGGAGGAGGGATCCAGACCCCTCGCGTCGTGGAAAAATCACGGCGGACGTGTTTTCTGTAGTTTCGGTCTCCGGGTGTTCTGTCCTGGCTCACGGGCTGTTAAAATTGGCTCGGGCTGAAAAAAGTTTGTCTAGGGGCCAGGGGCTGAGGCCTTTGGGGGCCATTCTTGTGAAAGGTCATGGCATCGGGGGCCTGGGGATGTGTGCGCCACGTCTCCTGAGATCTGCTGGTTGCCACTGCTCCCTACCAGGCGTTTTCGCCCAGTTCCGGACCGGGGGGCCCTCACAAGTCGATCCGGCTCGACATGTACTTCTGGTTGGTGGCTGGACGGAGCTGGGACGACGATGCATCCGTTTCAGGGGGTTCTGGAACGAGCGTTCCGGAACGCTCTGAGAAGGCCGCGGCGCGAGACATCCCCCAGAGCCGTCGAATCTCATATATGTGTTGGGGGTTTATCTTCACCCAATGTGATCCTTGTCCTGGTTCGTCTTACGTTCGGACCGAGGTATCAGATCGAGGTCGGTTCGGGAGGGTACCCTAGTGTTTTTCGTTCTTGTTGGATGCTCTTGTGCGTCCTGGGGAGGGGGTACCCTTGGATGTTCTGTTGCTCTGGCCGACGGAGGGCCTGCTGTTCTTGAGTGATGTTTTTCTGGTTTACCCAAAATTGTCTATCTGGTTGACCGAAAAGGGTATCCAGCGAAAAGGGGGTGGTGCAACATATTTGGTGCCCTAGATTTGTAAGGTTGCACTCCAGTGCGCAAGTGTATTGCTGGGTCCTCGCGTGCAGTACATTCGTTGCAACACAGGGCAGGATAATTCCCTGGCGCAGTACATTTGCAGCACAAATGCCCAAAATCTATGGCACCAACCCCTTTCAGCTGTGCTCCCTTTTGGGTCAACCAAAGCCCTCCTCCTCGTCTCCTCCTCGTCCTCCTCATCCTCCTCTTCCTCCGCCCTCCTCCTCCTCCTCCTCCTCCTCCTCCTCCGTCCTTGACTCCTCCTCCTCCCTCCCCCTCCCCTCCCCCCTCCCCCTCCCTCTCCTCCTCCTCCTCCTCCTCCTCCTCCTCCTCCTCCTCCTCCTCCTCCTCCTCCTCCTCCTCCTCCTCCTCCTCCTCCTCCTCCTCTTCCTCCTCCCCCCTCTTGGGTCACGAGGGGTCTATGGGGTTCTGATTGCTCGCCACGACGTGGACCTCTTGGCGGCGCCGCGCTGGAGCTCCCAGGGTCTGCTCCTTTGCTCTCGGCTCCCGCGCGGGGCCCGCGAGGGGGGCGCGCGGGCGTCCCCCACCCCAAAGCTTCAAGCGCTGGCGAAGCGCAGGCCCACCGTATGATCTATTGTGGTCGTGTTTTATTCGCTGTTTCGGGGGAGCGAAGGATGACACGAGCATGGAAACTCGGAGGTCCGCGCGGATTTTTCGAATCCTCGCTGGACCCCCCTGGCGGCGCCTCCGCTGCCGCCCCTGGCGCGCTCCGCGCGCCAGGGAGGGTGGTCCACCGCGGATCCGAGAAATCCGCGCGGACCTTCGAGTTTTTATGTTGATGTCCTTCTTCGTTCCCCTAATGGTTTGCCGATCGCCGCGGGTCCTCGCACCCCCCCCTGGAGCAGGTTTTGGCTGTCTCTGGCGCCCGAACAGGTGGAGTCGATCCCCCACCAGACGCACTGCTTCAAACAGTCGCATTAAGCAGAGGTCCAGAGCCAGACCCCCCCCCCGCCCCTCCCCCCCCCAATGTCGAAACGCCGAATAAGAAAACGTTCGCTATCGGCGGCGAGCGAAGGGGGGAAATGAGAAGGAGAAGGCCTTCTCAGAAGTCGGCGGGGCTTTTCAGGAGGTGTCTGGCCTTCTGGGAGGTTTTCTGCGTCTTCGGGGAAGGATCAGAACACTTGTCAGAAGGCTGGGGGACCCCCGAGCCTTCTGAGAAGGCACGCCACTTCTCACTTCCCCCCATCCCTCACCGCCGAATCTAAGCCTCCCTCATGGGTTCAGAGGAGATCGGTTCGGAGGATCGCGCCGCATCGCCGATGCATCGACGATGCGGCTCGATGCGGCTCGATGCGGAGCCCGATTTTCTCCACGCCGACGGCGCCGATGGATCGCCAACGTCGCCGATGCATCGCATCGGCGATGCACCAGCTGTACATCGGTGACGCGGCGCGATCCTCCGCTCCCATTTTCTCGGACCCCATCTGGAAATGGCCTCAACATGAAAGGTTCTAATATCATTTCGGCCCCAAGCAGTTCTGGTTTGAGGCGCTCGTCCCTTTGCGATATGTCCTGATATTGCGAAGGCCTTACGGCCGGTGCCGCCGACCCTGAGAACGACGAAGATGAAAACGAGGGGGGGCAGGGGGAGGAAAATGAGTGGGAGGTGGAGGAAAGGTGGAGGAGGTGGATGAGAGAGGAGGAGGGGGGAGAAGGATGTGGAGGAGAAGCAAGAGGAGGAGAAGGAGGCAGAGGAGAGCAGGAGGAGGGGGAGCAGAGGGGGGAGGAGGAGGAGGAGGAGGAGGAGGAGGAGGAGGAGGAGGAGGCAAGAGGCTTTCTTGGGACAGCCTTTGGCTCTCTTGAGGCAGTCTTGGGCCGTCCAGGGCTCCTCTTGCGCCGTCTCGAGGCACTCTTGGAGGCCTCCTGGGCAATTTGGGGCTCTCCTGGGCTGTCTTGGGGCAGTTTGGGGGCCCCTTGGGAGCCTCTTGGGGCCTCTTGGAGCTTCTTCGGGGCCTCTTGGGGGCCTGTTGGGGCTGAGAGCTCGAAATGTCCGGTCGGGTCTCCCGTCTGGGCACTCTCCTGGAGCCGTCTTGGGGGCCTCTTGGGCCGTCTCGGAGGCGTCTTGGGCCGTCTTGGCGCCCTCTTCGGCCGTTAGGGGACCCTCTTGGGGGCCTCTTTGGCCGTCTCGGGGCGATCTTGGGGGCCTCTTGGGCCGTCTTGGCGCGTCGGGAAGCGTAAGAGGCAAGAACGCCAACATCTTTCAAAAACGTATGAGAAGTCCTTGGGGCGCTCGTGGGAAAGCTCCTGGAGGCCTCTTAGGGGCGCTTTACATGCCTTTTGGGCCGTCTGGAGGACGTCAAGGCGTCTTGGACACATCGTTTGGCGATTCGGGGTTCTCGTGGACTGTCTTTGGGGCCTCTTGGGGCACTCTTGGCCCGTCTTGGGGCTTTTTTGGGCTCCAGGACTCCCAGGGTGGGGGCGTCGTATCTGACCCCCCCCCCGGGACTCCCCCCGGGATCCCCCCCGGGACCCCCCCCCGGCACCCCCCAGCGGGGGAGTGATCGAATGGAAGGGGCTTCTCTTCGACCGAATTACGACGTTGCTCAACTTCGCTTTGGCTGGCGCGCTGAGGAGGTCCCTGGGAAAGGGGTGAAACTTCGACGAGCCGAGGGAAATGGGGGAGGCAGGGAAAGGGGACGACAGAGACGACGACCAACGAATGACGGAGATGACGACTTGAACGGAAAAGCCCCTCACACACGCCGACAGGGTCGGCGGATGACGGGAAGCGCGAACGAGGAACGAGGAGCGTGGACCGTTTTTCTTAAGGGAAGCCTTTATATAGGGCTCCGGATTGCATCTTGGACGGGCGTTGGCGGATGACGGGAAGCGTCTTCGAGGTACGAGAAGCAAGCGGGACGTTCTGGCTGAATCCTTGAGTATATATATATATATATATATATATATCTTTATATCTATGGGTTGCGGGGCTGCACGGGATGACGGGAAGCGTCTTCGAGGTACGAGAAGCAAGCGGGACGTTCTGGCTGAATCCTTGAGTAAATATATATATATATCTTTATATCTATGGGTTGCCGCGCCGCACGGGAGTTTTCGTTGGCGGATGACGGGAAGCGTCTTCGAGGTACGAGAAGCAAGCGGGACGTTCTGGCTGAATCCTTGAGTATATATATATATATATATCTTTATATCTATGGGTTGCGCGCTGCAGTTCGTTGGCGGATGACGGGAAGCGTCTTCGAGGTACGAGAAGCAAGCGGGACGTTCTGGCTGAATCCTTGAGTAAATATATATATATATCTTTATATCTATGGGTTGCGCGATTGCACGGGGGTTTTCATTGGCGGATGACGGGAAGCGTCTTCGAGGTACGAGAAGCAAGCGGGACGTTCTGGCTGAATCCTTGAGTAAATATATATATATATATCTTTATATCTATGGGTTGCGCGATTGCACGGGGGTTTTCATTGGCGGATGACGGGAAGCGTCTTCGAGGTACGAGAAGCAAGCGGGACGTTCTGGCTGAATCCTTGAGTATATATATATATATATATATATATATCTTTATATCTATGGGTTGCGGGGCGCACGGCGTTTTTCATTGGCGGATTCCCAAAATGGCCATTTCGCTCGAGACATCCTCGAAAAATCGAGGTGTTGGAGGCTATCGTTTAAGACGTCTTATGTCAAAAATGACGGTTTCGCTCGAGACATCCTCAAAAAAATCGGGATGTTGAAAAATATCAAAAATTTTTGTTATGCATGAAAAATGAGCGTTTCGCTCGAGACATCCTCGAAAAAATGAGATGCCGACAGAGGTGTTTTAGAACCTCTTAGGTGGTCTGCCGTGCTCCCGTGTGGAGCACGGCAGACCACTGCCATTTCGCTCGAGACATCCTCAAAAAATCGAGGTGTGGTCTGCCGTGCTCCTGTGTGGTCTGCCTTGCTCCTGTGGTCTGCCGTGCTCCCCACAGGAGCACGGCAGACCGCGCGTAGGAACCGAGAGGAGCACGGCAGACCAAGACGAGGAGCACGGCAGACCAGGCTTAGGAACCGAGAGGAGCACGGCAGACCAAGACGAGGAGCACGGCAGACCAGGCACCAAGAGCGCCCTCAAGACGACGGAAAGGATGACCAAGACGAGGAGCACGGCAGACCAAGACGATGAGCACGGCAGACTATGCCCTAAGAGTGCCCTCAAGACGGCCGAACAACGGCAGACCCCATAGGAGCACGGCAGACCACAGAAGAGCACGGCAGACCAACAGGAGCACGGCAGACCACACAAGAGCACGGCAGGCCACACAGGAGCACGGCAGACCACACAGGAGCAGGGCAGGCCACAAAGGAGCACGGCAGACCACACAGGAGCACGGCAGACGCCACAGGAACACGGCGGAACCCACAGGAGCACGGCAGACCCCACAGGAGCACGGCAGAGCAGACCCAAAAGGAGCACGGCAGACCACACAGGAGCAAGGCAAACCACAGGAGCACGGCAGACCACACAGGAGCACGGCAGACCCCACAGTAGCAAGGCAGACCCCAAAGGAGCACGGCAGACCACCGGAGCACGGCAGACCACACAGGAGTACGGCAGACCCCACATGAGCACGGCAAATCCCAAATGAGCACGGCAGACCACAAGAGCACGGCAGACCACACAGGAGCACGGCAGACTCCACAGGAGCACGGCAGACCACAAAGGAGCACGGCAGACCACACAGGAGCCCGGCAGACGCCACAGGAGCACGGCAGACGCCACAGGAGCACGGCGGAACCCACAGGAGCACGGCAGACCGCGCGCGGGTACAACATAAACGCGCCTTTTTGTTGTACCCCGAACGCCGCTGGCGTTTCCCCAACAGGAGCACGGCAGATCTCACAGGCGCGCGGCAGACCCCAAATGAGCACGGCCGACCACAGGAGCACGGCAGACCCCAAATGAGTACGGCAGACCCAAAAGAGCACCGTAGACGCCTCAGGAGCACGGCTGACCACACAGGAGCACGGCAGCCTGGGCCGGTTCCGGCGCCGGCCGGCGCCGGAAAATTGAATTCCGAGGCGGTGCCGAAAAAAGGCCACTCCAAGACATATTTTTCTTTCGAAAATATTGATTTTCTGCTCCCGGCGCCCGGGAACCCCTTCCGGGCCGCTTCTGGCACCCGGGCCGGCGCTCGAGCCAAACGCCCGGGCCAGCACCCGGGCCAGCGCCCGGGCCGGTTCCGGCGCCGGCCGGCGCCGGAAAATTGAATTCCGAGGCGGTGCCGAAAAAAGGCCACTCCAAGACATATTTTTCTTTCGAAAATATTGATTTTCTGCTCCCGGCGCCCGGGAACCCCTTCCGGGCCGCTTCCGGCACCCGGGCCGGCGCTCGAGCCGAACGCCTGGGCCAGCACCCGGGCCAGCGCCCGGGCCGGTTCCGGCGGCGGCCGGCGCCGGAAAATTGAATTCCGAGGCGGTGCGGAAAAAAGGCCACTCCAAGACATATTTTTCTTTCGAAAATATTGATTTTCTGCTCCCGGCGCCCTGGAACCCCTTCCGGGCCGATTCCGGCACCCAGGCCGGCGCTCGAACCGAACGCCCGGGCCGGCACCTGGGCTGGCGGC